GGGCTCGGGGGCGGCCGAGACGAAACGAAACAGGGAACGACCCTCGAAGTTCCTTGAGGCCGAGCGTTTGTCCTACGTCGCTGCTGGTCGCTCGGTTTTGGCACAGGCTCCCGTTCTCAGCGTCGTCGCTGATGCCGTCCACGTGGGACAGGAGGACTGGCTGAACGTTTTCCTCTGCGACACAAGCGAGGACGTGTCTTTCCTTTGCCCGCCACAGGCAGACTGAGAGGGTTGGGCAATGCTTTTGGGAGGCGTATTTTGGCAAATTTCTGCAGTAAATGGGCCCTCATAAAACCATACAGTAAACCGCGCCTAAGGTCGACCATACAGCAAACCGCGCCTAAGAAACCATACAGTAAACCGCGCCTAAAAAACCATACAGTAAACCCTGCCTTTTTCGCTTTTCGCCAGGGTCCCGGTTTTGCCAGGTCCCCGCCATTCCCTTCTAGCAAGAGGCCAGGGCTCCCAGCCAAAACCATACAGCAAACCGCGCCTAGCAAAACCATACACTAAACCGAGCCTAAGGAATCCCCGGCACAACCATACGTCAAACCCCGCCTAATTTTTGTATAGCAAAACGAGTCCATTTTTGGCCAAAAATGGACTCTTTTTTGGCCTTCCGGGTATGAGGTCGGAGAAGGTTTTCACAGCATCCAAGCTTTGTGTCCTGACTGCAACTTCTGATCACAAAGGGAGCACAATCCTGCAAACCAACAGCAGTGCCGTAAGGTATGTATCGTCAATTGTAAGGCAGTAGAGTCTATGTGTGCTTTTTTTGCGGGCAAAGTATCCAGCTGCTGTTGTTGCTTTGGGATTCCTAGCCCTTTAGAGAAGCAATTCAGAGCCCTTAGGAACTCTTCCTGTAGCAACACTTCTCTCCGGGGCCCCAAGCCTGAATCTCTATAGAGTTTGGAGTCAAAGTTTTGCCTGTGACAGGTGAAGAAAGGGACGGCCATCACGTCGGACGACTGGACGGACATGTGGCAGGGCCGCATCACGAAGTTCTTCAAGAAGGCCGGCTCCAAAGGTCGCTCGGCAGCGAAGACCACAGGCGGCTACAAGGAGCCGGAGAGGCTGGCCACTCAGGAGTGGCTCCGAGACATGTCCCACAGCCTCGCGGTCGTTGGCTGGGGCTTTTCGTCCTTCCGACGGACGAGCGAGGCAGGCCGGCCGAGGGTCTTGATCCTCTGCACGGATCAGGAGGCCACTCAGTTGGCGGCCGTGAACTACTTGAAGTTCGGCCGTTCGCTGTTCGTGGAGCACGTCAACGACCCGGCTCACCGTTCCCACAACGACGTGAACCTCGCGATGGCGGCGGCCGGTCTGCTGACGTTCGGCCTCGTGTCCATCGGCCTCTACAACGTTCGCTACGGCCCATGGAACAAGGGCACGTGGTTCGGCAAGGTCCAGACGATGGCGGACGAGATGAGTCGTTCGATGAGCCCTTCGGATCCGTTGCTGCTGACTTCTTTCCGGACATTCTGGAGGACCAAGGCCGTTCGCAAGAGGACAACAACGAGGCCGAGCGACGTGCTTTTCTGGAGAGCCTGCCAAACAGGTCGTTCGTGAGAAGCAAGGGCAGCAAGGCCTCGCAGTCTCGCTTCAACAGTCTCTCGCAGGCCCATGCGGAGCTCGACGGCGACTGGTCGGCCTTTTGCCTCGTGCTGGTCGCTCTCTGCGTGGCCGAGGGCTGGTGCACGACGGCGTCCCAGTTGTGGTCGCCCTCCGCTGGCATGGCCGAGACGACGACGGCCGCCACGACCAGGGCAGCCGCCAAGTCGGCCGCTCGCAAGGCTCTGCAGCAGCAGAGGGGTCGTTCGGTGAACGTCTTGCACGGGATGACGATGTTCGCCTGCAACCAAGACAATCGGTCGCTGGCCAGGTCCGTGTTTTTCGTGCTTCAACCGGAGAACGTTCGGTGCAGCACGATGCTCGCAGACCTTCGGGCGGCCGAGGCCACCGTGAGCCAGTATGCCAACTGGGCTCACTGGCAGTACATGGAGGGCGCTCGCGAGCATGTCGCCAAGCTGTCCAACCTGGCCGCTCTGAAGCGGATCGGCCTTGACATGTCCTTCGAGCTGCCAAAGGAGGAGGTTCGAGAGGACTCGCTGGCGTGGCAGGATGCAGTCGCTCACAGAGTCGTTCGCCTGACACACCGTCTCTTGCGATATCGTTGCGGCAGCCAGCTAGGGTCCACGAACGGCTGGGGAGCATCGGCCGGCTTGCTGCACGAGTCTGCCGCCCTTCGACAGTCCAGCCTTCGCTTTCTGGAAGAGGTGGATCGCACGGTCAAGCGTGTGCAGGCCGAGGGGTCGTTGGAAGCGAAGCTCCTCTTGGACGGCCACTCTGCCACGGCGCCCGTGATGGCCATGTTGCTGTCCGAGTTGCGGGAGGCGTCGTTCGTGGAGGTTCCGCCGGGGACGTTCGAGTGGCTTCGCCGTTCGTGGAGCGGCCTGCTGAACTCGAAGCTCGTGGAGGACGCCAACAAGGTCCAACGTGAGGCCGAGCAGCGGAATGGCACTTCGAAGACGTTGGGTCGTTTGGAGGGCTGGCACGGTCTCTCGAGAAAGAAGCTCCTGGAGCAGTATCACAGGAGAGAGGTGCCGAGTGGCCGGATGGCGACCGTGCCCGCGAAGTTCGACGCCGACCCGTGGTTCGTGCGGCCTCAGCGGCTCCGCACGGACCCGGGCAGTTCGTCGGCCGCCGTTCGCGAGGAGCAGGAGGAGGGCCTCACGGACCAGACCTTCGAGGACGACCTTCTGAAGGGCGTTAGCCAAGCGAGGACGTGGGCCTCTCTCACACCTGAGTCGGAACAGGACAAGCTGGCTGGGTTCTCGCTGCTCACCAAGGTCGTTCGGCAGAACATGGACTGGTCCTTCGTGGAGAAGGGATGGTGGGCAGCCTTGGCTCCCGAGGGACATGCCTTGCAGTTTCCGACTGGACCACCGTTGTACGTGGTTCGCAGCTACAAGCGAGCGGCTCTCGTCTGGCCCGGCAAGTTGCAGACTTCCCCTGCCGGAGACATCGTCGGCCTGGACCTGGAGAACCCACAGGTCGGATGGGTGCACCTTTTCGACGACGCCGTGGACGTTCTGGACTTGGCTGCGACCTCGCCACAACGTGGCCTGGCCCACAAATCTCTGGTTTTTAGTATGGATTCCGTAGTAAATATTCACTTAGGCTATAGCTTCCTAAATCCTAAACCCCAAAATCCAGCACAGGGAACCCTTTAGAGTCGTTTATGTGCGTTTCAGCATTTTCTAGGTGCGTTTCAGGTGCGTTTCAGCTTTTTCGTGAGTTTTCTATACAATCTCGATATTTTAGAGTTTACCCACGGCGTGACAGCAACGAGCAGAATCACCCGACCCTGAGTCTGCTGTTTACCTAATTTTACACTTTGGCTTGATTTACTGTAAACGAAGGATTTAGTGTAAAATGACCAAATTTACGTAAATTTTCTGGTGAGCTAAAAACATGACAAAACACATAAAAACATTATGCAAACACAAACATGGAACTCATATTTGCGGCTGCAAACTTAGACACCACATGTAAAGGATTTAAAAAAATCACCGGCATGAGTTTGTTTTGCTCTGCAATCGCAGACACCACATGTAAAGGATCCACAGCAGAAGTAAGGACTTTTCCGAAAATTCGCAGGCCCAAAGCCATAAACTAACCAAAGAGAATCCATGCAGATTGCTTATAAGATCCACACCAGTATATACGACAACTGTGATTCAAAAGCCCAAACAAAAGACCAGGAGCACCACATATAGCAGAGAGACACTCTTTTTTTTCGCGACAGAAAAGAAAGAAGCTCTCACGATCGCCCAACTTTGCCCCGCAGAAACAAAAGGTGCCTCTCTTTGAGGGCAGCCTTTTTGGAAGCATGCCAGTGCTTCACCCCTGCCAAACAACTCTTCCATAGAATCTGCAGGCGATGCATCGTCGTCTCTCCCTTGTAGCACCAGACCATCGACGGATGAATAAAACTGCTGAGTAGGAGACTATGCAAAACGAAGTGGGTCTTACTTGTGAGATTGAAGAGCTTCTCCCCCGTCCCTTTGTAGTGGGCTTGCAGGCTGCTGTGGAGCTGTGCCATTTGGCAACCGAGCTTGAAAGCCAGGTTTGCTTGCTCCTCAGGTAAAGCCAAGAAGCCGTACCGTGGCCCATAAGCTTCCAATATTTCAGCCAGCTGCAGGTTCAACCGCAAAAAGAGCCGGATTTGCTTGTGTTGATAGATACCCTCGTCCATTTGCTCTTCGAATAGAGCAAGAATTGCACTGTCCAAAGATTGAATATCGGAAGCTCTTCCTCTCATCTTGGGGAATCCTTTTTTTGGTTGTATCATTGTAAGTTTCAGAAGTCGCTGGCGGAATGTGTATCTGGTTTCGTTGTCTCGCTGGTACTTCTTGATGAAGGAGTCGCAGTATTTCAAATTCGCCAAGATACTCCCACCCAAACAATCGTGGACCACGATGCTGAGCACGGAGCCATAAAAAAACTGTATCCACCCCAAAAACATACAATGCATATAGTCCATCGTGATACAAAGTCCCGAAAAGCCAGGTAAAGAATACAGCTGGCATGATGGATTCCAGTGGGATCTCCAGTTGGTGGTGGTGAGGCACGAGGCTTGCCACGGCGAATTTGCACGATTGTCCATCCATGTTAGTGGTCCTTTGAAGGCGGCCCGACAAAGAGCACAAGGTTTGCTGTGATTGCTCCATCGTGGAACCTCCAGCCATTTCGCATAATAATCCAAGTCGCCAGCCATTTGAACCAGGACACCATAATATCCTCCGCATAGGTCGGTTCCCGCTCGTTCGCCCTCCTTTGTACTGGCCCCATACCTCTGTGCCGTGTAACAAACATTTTCTTACTTGTGAGACAGGTTCATATATATCTACATATATATATCTACATGTGGTGAGAGGGTTTTTTACGTATACTGTGTGGTGATTTTTCTCACATCCGGTTCGTGCTGCTTTGGGATTCCACGGGTCCGTGGTTTTGTGGCTTATATATGTTTATACGATATTATATACTGTGTATATATATATATATATATCATCACCATCAAGGAAGCTGTTGGGTTAGGGTTGGATTTGAGAACAGGGCTCTCATACATAGGGTGTGTATGTATATAGTCACATATCTAAAACAGGACCCACATCATAAAAAATCAAGAAAGACAAAAAGGCTTACAGCTTATAGGGTTCCCACAGGGTCCTAAAATGTAAGGGTTTCCAGATTTCTGGCACATGTGTACATATACAACAACACACCAGGCTGCTTCTTGCCTTGCCAATCCCGAGCAGGCCATTTACCGGTGTAAAGAATGTTGAAAGACCAATACATCACTTGCCAAAAAGTTTCCATTGTCCCAGCCCCCTCGCCGCCAGCCGGAATAATGAACTTCTCAAAAACGCCCCAAATGTAGAGGTTGCAATCGGCAGCAGATCGGCCGGCCGCTGTGGCCATCAGCGATACCCATGAAAAAGCCAAAACACTGCGAGCCCATATCTTGCCCACTCCAAAAACAGGAACTTCGTCGCCGTGTATGCAAAGGGGAATAGCCCTTTGCATCCAATTAGCTCGCGATTTTACCGCATGATTTGACATGCAAGGGTGTCCATTGAACGATCTCCAAAACCGAGGCAAAGCCTCCGCATCAGGCAACACAGAAGTAATCCATCCAGTCGTCGTCTTCCAAAGGTGGTGCATAATCTCGTGCGGAAGCAATATCATGGAAGTCGCCGTGCCTTCGACTTGTCCTGCTAAGGGGATATTAAATTCTGTCGGCATCGGAAGATTGGACTGCTGGGCCAAGTGGTTGTCAATAGAAGATTGCAAATTTTTTCCATGCTTCACCTTGCTGAGCCTGTCCAAATCAGGAAGAATTTTCCCGTCCCTTGCATTTCTAATATCGGCAGCCGCTGCAACTGCAATTGCATGAATCATAGAGGCCGACAGGAGGCCTTGTGCCAAATACGTCATCAGCAAATCGTGCAAAGAACTTGAGGTGGACTTCTCACTCACCGCCTGGCCCAATCTCTGTTGGACCCCACCCTTTCGTCGCTTTCGCTCGGGCCCTGCATCCTCCATGGTACCTTCTCTCCATATATAAATAAACAGAACAGCACCTTTATGCAAAGTTGGTGTTTGTTGCCAGCTGAACTTTTGTGCCTTATTTCATACAGTGGTTTGTTCGCTATAGCCATAAAACATTTTATAAGGACGGGACACACATGGTCAGACACACCGAGCATTGAGGCTGAGGCTTGTGAGCAAGTTATACATATATGTGTGGGCACCAAATATACTATACAAACAACAACAGAAAGCTTTTGCCCCAACCCCGCAAAACCCAAACCCCCTAAACCACACGGTCCACTGCCCCTCAATCTGGACGAAACAAATCTTGTGAGGGTTTATATATAAGGTTCAGGATTTAAGGGTTTATAGAGGGTTCAGGGTTTGGGGTTACGAAGGTTGTGTTGTGAGCTTCACAGGGTTTTGGAGGTATGGACTTTCATGGTTGATTCAATGCTTGAGGTTCGGAGGTATAGCTTTACACATGTGTGCACTCACACATGCAAAGCAGGCTACAACAACACCATCGGTGTTATATATACTCTAAAATTGAAGCTGAAAGTCACGAAGACCAACACCCCAACATGATTCAAAAGGTTATAGTTATACACGTCGTTGCTCACATGTAAAAATCACCAGAAAAGCGCCAAATCTCAAGCTCTCATCATCGCCGTTGCTTTTTTCTCTCATCGCCAAAACTCAGAATCGCCGTTTGCACCACATAGAGGCGACAGCTCCGGAACTGCACACATTCAAAATCTGTCTAGCATCCTTTTTTGGCTCGGACAGTCAACTTGGCTTTCACGGCTGCCATTTGTTCTTCGAGATGAGTTGCTACTCGCCCGGACTCTCTCATGGTCTTGGAATATGATGAGATCGTGATCGGCCCGTCCTCATTCTCATCCTCGTACTCGTGCCACGAGAGAAGGTGCTCAAGTCCCTGCTTCGATTTTGTTGCTTGTTGGACGATGCTCTTCCTTACAGCTGTGGGGTCTCACACAGGTTTCGGTGTTCGGGCACTGGGTTTACTTGCGAGAGAAAGCACAACACTTTGGTTACATGCGACTGTTGTTGAAGAGACTACTTTTACGAGTTAAAGTTTGTGCTTTACTTGCGAAGACAAAGGTTGAAGCCTCCATGTATTTACTTACGAGTTAAATTGGTGACTTTACTTGCGAGGATAAAAAAGTTGAAGCTTTTGGCAAGGTTGTTTCAGGAATACAAAACCAGTCCAAGTCGCACACTCTGGTACATGTCCTTGTCCTGCTTCTCATCCACGGAAGCAACCAACTTTCTGCCCTCGACAAGGATCTTATTGTAGGCCGCGATCGCCTTTGTAAGCTGCCCATCTGCTGCCTTCCACAGCTTCTCCGTCATGTTCCTGCTGGCGGCCACGGTACCATCGCAGATTGCGAGCTGCTCTGAGTCATTTGTCAGAGCTCTCTGGGGCTTTGCTTTGCCCTCGCTCTTCTCCTCAAACAAACCAATCCTCCAATCCTTGGACTGCTTCTCGAAGAACTTGGCCTCGCCATCCTTCGCTTTGGCATCGGAGCCCATGGAAAACTTCTTCTCCTTCCCTGAAGTGGAGTTGTGCACATCCTCGGACCACATGTAACGATCGGGTCCGTTCTTGGAACGGACAGCGATGATCTCGCCACTCTCGAGTGCGGCTTCGAACTGCTCATTGCTAAGATTGAATTTCCCCTGAAGCAAGATTTTGCCCAGGGTTTTCTTCTTGTTGGTCGCCTCGGACTTCGTGTAGTTCTCCTCGCTCCACCCACAGAAGAAAAGACAAGCCGAAGGGGTTTAGGGTTCAAGCTTAAGGGTTTGAGGCTTGAAGGTTTTAGGGTTCAGGGCTTCGTCGTTTGAGGCTTTGGGGTTTGGGGTATATATATATAATATATATATATATATATATATATATATAGGTGCACAGGTTCAGGGTTTAAGGTTTGGGGTGCACGAAGGGTTGTGGTCATCATTATTATACGTATAGTATAGCAATTATATATAATATATATTGTATGGGAATGCATTTATAGAGTGTTTTTAGATATGCATATATGGTATAATAAAAATAAATGTAGTAGAGCCCT